ATATTGCATATAAGAGTATAAGCTAATGTTATTCTTTTCCGTAATTATCTAGCTTGCACGGAACCTATCTATTTGAAATATTAAGTTCTGGATCCGCCAAAATAGCCATTCTACTTATCGTCCTATCATAAATCTTTCCGTAAAGTAACACTAACTCGGGAGAAGATTTAAACAAACTTTTTATTAAAACTTCTGCTTAACAATTTTCTTCATCTCGTGCCATAATAGAACAATTCACCGCTTATGGGATTTAACTGAGTACAAATGTTGGAAGCAATTTAAGTATGAAATTCAGAACGCAAAGTCCGCTTGTAACTATTGGCCCAGGTTCTCAACTACATTTACAAGTTAGGCGAAAGTAGTATTAAGAATGCCAGCAGCGCTCTCTCGTAACTTCAATAACTCTGTGTTATATCTATTTATAAATATGATGCTTTAATAAACATAAAACTCCACAAGCTCTAAGAAATGCTCTTTTTCCTGTAAAAGCACTAAATGTAGTAATCGTATTGCCGACTGTAATGAAAAGAAGGTGCACAGCTTAGATGTTATAGTTGTTCCACATACAAGATTTCGACATTGTACGGCAAATCGTTTTCTTGAGTTATGCCAGATACATGCATACATATATCCGTACATACGAACGAACAGATGTCACAAATAAGTCCCTTTTGAATCCATTTTACAATCCGTTTTGGAAAAAATGTTCTTTATATTGTCCGTACGAACAGAATTCCAGAGAGGAATATTTGCTCCGGTACAAGCCTTTTAAGTTGAACTTCCGAACTCCGGGGACCATCTAAGTGGGCTCAGCCTCCGCTGTCCCCTCTCGGCTTTATACAAAGCATTAGAACAGAATGAACGCTACACAAAAATTGTTACGAAGTCATCTTTGCCCCGGCCACCACTCCGAGAGCATCGAATAATTCAGAGGGTGTTCCGTACCTTGTCAGACCCCGTTGAGGGACCGAATGGAACCAAAGATGGCCCCCAAATCTAACCATGTTGCGACCCCACAGCCAAGGGGCAGACAAGACAGTACCAATACGGTCCTTGTCGAGCCTGAACCATCCCCCGAATGAACAGAGGTACTAGTTCTGTGAAGGCTGATTTTGTACCCCCTGAGTCATCCCCCAGGGGAAGTTTGTACGTACTATTAACCAGCAAAAGAGCCTTTGCCCAGAAGATATTTGTCTCCCATTCAAATTTTGCTATCACTCAATTGCGAAAGGCTGTCCAGAGGGGCGCTAGACCCTCCGATCAACCCACGGGAACTTTACATGTCGCCATCATCCATCGCCGAGCATTGACGGGGGACACCACAACCCCGGAAAACCCTTATATATCTGACCATGTAAAGTCCCCACAATCAAGGTCACAGACACGACAGTACCAGTACGGTCCCTGCCAAGCCTGAACCAACCACCGAATATACGATGGCTGTAGTCCTGTGAGGACTGATTATTTATTCTGCATGCCGAAGCTGTCTAGACACACATCCAGCCAGATGTCTGGAAGAATCCCGGGTTTTTTCCCATTAAATGATCGGTTCCGGAAATTATGCTCAATCGGACCACAGAGAATGGTTGTCCAACATCATTTAACTATTTCCAGCAGGGGCCACGAGGAGGTCGATGTTGAACTGGGTGATTAGAGGCTATAAGTTAGCGTGTCACTTCGCCCGGCAGCTGCACCCTCAGATTGAACACCGGGTCTTCTACAGTCAGCGGTCGGTTCCGGATATCCGTCCTCAACTAACAACCATTCCCCGCCAGTCTGTACGTACAGGTGACAGGTGACAGGTGACGGAGGACGGGGACGCCTGGTGTTTAACAGAGGTAAACAGGCATATGTCCCGCGCCCTCCCCTATCTACCGGAGGTTTATTGAGATCTTAAAAGATTTATTACATTGCCATACAGGGGCAGATGAGAGATACATTGGCTATTTATATTGTATTACAGATTTAGGTTTGCAAGGTATACGTTACATAACATACTGGTTACACATTTAAGAAAAAAAAAAAGAAAGAAAAAGAAAAAAAAATATTAACATAACACATACATGACATGACACATAAATACTATTAATAAAGAAGGTACATGCGCTTAGCAGAAGGAAGATACTGTATTTCCTTAGATGCAGAGGAGTACTTACATTCACTTAAGACCCTGAATTAGTGGGGTTGGCATAGGTCTTGCCCCAGGGCGGTTATCTGGCTGATTATTCTGCAGATGGTATTCACTGTGCCTTTGTTATTAACGATGAATCGTTTGAAGGCTATTTGGTTGTCTGCTGGCAAGTGGAGGTGATTATCCTCCGTGAGCGGGCATTCAAAGATGTAATGGTCTGGAGTTCCGAGCGAGCGACCCACAGACGCACAAGCCTGTATGAGAGATACCAAATCGCTCAAAATAGGTGGGAAAAGGGCCCGTGCCCCGAGATGTAATTAGTGATGGGAGGTATGGAGTATTGGCGCTCCGTTTTCACTCTAGGCAGAAATAAATTGGTTCTGCGACCCGTATCACAGGTCTCCCATTCAGCTTGCCACTTCTGCAGACCTTTTTCCTTAAGAGTTCTCTTGAGATACGAGGGTGGCGCTGGAATAGTTACCATCTGTGCAGCTATGTTGCTTGCTGCCTCCTTTGCCAGTTGGTCAGCTGTCTCATTACCCTCGTTGTTAACGTGTGCCTTAGTCCATATTAAATTTACAAGTTAGTTGAGGATGTGATTGTAGAATATTCTGGAGGTCCGCTACCAATGGGGAGGTGTGGTTATGGTTGACTAGGGCGAATAGCGTTGACATGCTATCTGTAAACAGCATTGCATCGGTGATCCCGCTGTCAATTGCATGCTGAATCGCAGTGGTAATGGCTATGACTTCAGCCTGGAATGTACTGTTTATTGGTTGAAGATGCCCCTTCCACTCGATTTCCTTGCATCCTCCGTGGTACAGGACGAAGGCACTACCTGTACCCTCGTCGAGCTTGGATCCATCTGTATAGTACTACTGCATTGGGTACCGTGGATCCTGTATTGTAATTTGCTCGCCACTTCTGCTGACGTGAATCCTTATATTTCTTCCCTTGTGCGCAGGGTGCGTCTCCAGGGTATTCTTTGGATGCTCATACTGAACTGGACTATAAGTGTTTCCGCAGAAGATAGCTTCCTTCTTTAAATGGATAACAGTAGCGTAAGCAGCTTCAGTTTCTGCGCGTATGTGCAGTGGCATTAGACCAGATAATACCACTGCTGCACTAGTGGCCGTTGTTCTGTAGGCCTTACACAAGAGTAAGGCGTAAGGTCGTTGTATAATTCCCAGCTGTTTGACTTTTCTACCACTCATCGGACTGGCCCATATTGCTGAAGCGTAAAGGGCTATTTTCTCTGAGACTGTGAGATAAAGAATTTTCTGTATGTGGGGATTTTGACCCCAGTTTCGCCCCTGAAATAGGCGGGCTTTTCTTGCTATTTCGGAAGTTCGCTGTTTAATACTTTGGAGGTGGGGAATCCATGTTAATTTGTTGTCCCACAGAAGGCCAAGGTACTTTAAGGTGTTATTGATTTTAATGTTCCTCTGCATTAATTTGATGCATGGTTTGCGTCTCAGGTTGGCTCTTTGCTTCGGTATGATCAGGGCACAGGACTTTTCAGCAGATAGTTGAAGTTTAAGTTTGCCGCAGAGTTCTGCAAAGAGTGCACAAGACTCGGTGCCATTCTTCTCAAGCTCGTCGCGGGTTCTTCCTTGTACTAACAGTGCGGCATCGTCAGCGTAGGCGACGATGGACGTATGTCTTGGCCATGTGGCCTCCAGGATGGCGTTGAAAGTAATCGTCCAAAGAATCGGTCCCGCACACGAGCCTTGCGGACAGCCCCTTTCTTGGTGTTTAGTAGTAACTCCGTTGTTATGAGTTATTAGTAGACTTCTGTCCTGCAGGTAGTGGCAGAGGACGCTGTAGAGATTGATGGGGCATTGCGCTTTCCTGAGTGCCTGCTTGATTGCTGGCCACCAGAGTGTATCAAAGGCACTCTGGAGGTCCAGCGAGATGAAGGCGGTGTGCAGGTTGCCTGATCTATTCCTTTGTATTTCCTCCAAGATAGCGTGCAGAGCATGAGTGGTGGATTGTCCAACTCTAAAGCCGAATTGTCTATTACTGAGATAGCGGCTGCGATGAAGGTGAAATCTGAGTCTATTGACTATTAACTTCTCATATATCTTCCCTAGGGAGGATAGAAGGCATATTGGCCTGAAGGAGCGCGGATTTTCTGCATCTTTATTCTTTTTTAAGAAGAGGACGACTTGTCCCTCTTTAAAGACGCGAGGGAAAACTCGATGGTGCAAGAGCTGATTGAAGAATTTAGTAAAGAAGGATGGTCTTGCCTTGTAGGCTATTCTAAGGATGTTATAATCGATGCCATCGGGTCCCGGTGCCTTTTTGAGAGGGAGATGGCGGTAGATCTGTCTGATTTCTGAGTCACTGAAGGGCTCGTCGGCTGGAGTTGCTGGAGGTGTTGAGTCTGCACGAGTCTGTACGTACAGATGTCACGAAAGAAAATCGTCCAAATAAATTGGGGATCTGTCAAAATGGATATTTACTTTGAAATCTGATACCCAAAGATTTTTGCGATCCTTTACTGTGTACGAGGAAGTAAAAGTGACGGAAACCGCATACAGCCAGCTGCGTCTGTTAATCCAATTTTTATATTAAAGCTCGGAATCTATGCGTAAAGTTCCGCGATTTTCTTTCTGACAGCTCTGTCTTAAAATATTTCTAAATAAATGAGCATATCTGCATGCACCTACATCCTGTTACTTAGAAAACGAGTCTATACATCAACTTCCAGATGCAAATATAAAATTTTTCTAATTGCATGATGATGAGGGCTATATGTTGGTGATATTTTGAATGTGATTTAGTTCTTTTATTTGTAGTAGTAATTGATAACTTGTGTTTTAAGTTATTTACTGAATTTTCTGGTTTTGAATGTGTTTTTCCGTAGATGGCACAAAGTTGCGTCTTCTGTAAATACCAGTGGTTCCATCCAAGGACTTTCTAAAGGCCAGCGATATATTTTCCGAGTTCGAGCAGAGAACAGGTACGGTGCCAGCCACCCTAGCAAAGAATCCAAAGTGATATGTTTGGACGATTATCTTCAGTATGATACATCATCTGATGAAGAACCTGGTACGTTACCTGACTTTTCCTTCGATTCTATCCACTTGTTATATTAATCTATTAGTTCTGTCTTCCAAACAAATGTATCTAGAAATATCAGCACTCTTCATGTAGATGTATAGAGGTTACGACCATCTATTTTAGTGTGAGAAATTGTCAATAGTAGTCACGGGAGTAATAATAATGCATTAATGAAATTTTATAATATTAATTTATAACTTTCTTAAATCTGACTTTTTCTAGAAAATGTTTCATTTCTTAGTAGAATGGTTTCTTAGTTAACACTTCTTGCGTGGCTGAAAACAACGGTATTTAATATTTCAAGATCATAGATAAACAGAAGTGTCATTGTCAACATGCAGTGAAGCTTGTCAACATGCAGCCTTCAGTTTCAGTCATTTAATCGCATTAAGTATTTCATTCGCGATTAGCAATAATCCATTTTTAATTATATAATATTTTAAATACAGCTCAAGTTGACGTAAAATTAACTGAAAGAAAATCAGTTGGAATTATAAAGAGTCATTTCATTTGTTACCCGTGCGTGCTGTAGTAGTATAAATAATTAGCATATCTGGTTGGAAATTGGAAGATCCGGGTTCGAATACTGGTGATCCGGGTTCGATACAGTTGATGTAGAAGTAATATTAAGAAAGTTAACATAATTCAAGTATAGGGCATTCACAGGAGGTGAAGATGGAGATAAATGTGTTTGTAATGAAGAAATAATGGGTTGATATTACAATGCGAAAGAGATGTAGTTTTCTTACTTTCGTAAGGAAATTATCCACAGGCACCCACAGGCTACCAAAAAAAAAAAAAAAAAAGTATGAAATAGAATAATAAAAAAATAGAGAATGGTAAAAAAATAGTCTTCGAATATAACAGAACAGGAATTATATCTGATAGCTGCTGTTAACTAACCATAGCGTAATTTTAAAACATGTGGAAACTCTGTCGAACTCTCGGAAGGAATTTTACCATTAAATAAGTGAAAATAACATCTGTTATTGCCAACTGCTAGAACTAAATCTTCGCTTTTCATAAAATTAATTTTCATCTTTTAAAAATAATTCCAATTTTGAAAATGTTTGCATTTATTTCCTTATTTCTTTTTTGTATGTAAAACAAGTAACAAAAAAATTAAATCAATTCCTACTTAGGCCAGCAAAGAAAAATTTTATTTTAGTTACTTTTTATTAATATTACTAACATTTTTTTCATTTCTAATTTATGAAGCTGATGGTGGTCTGTAATTTATCATTATATACAACTCTTGTAATGCTTCATTATTGCAAAGAACATTTCCAGCGAGTTTCGAGCTGTCCAATTCTTCAATTTATATTCCATCTAATCATCAAAACGACATATGCTTAACCTGCTGCGAAGAGTTTCCGTCCTAGATATATTACTGCATAATCTACAGTGCTACCTTGCAACTTATGTACTGTTCTTGCCCATGATAGTATTAATGGCAGCCATTCTTCGTTCAGCAGTACCGTAGGCATATAAACAAAATGTACACTGCTAGGACAACGGCTTTAATTTGGCCAATGACTGTCCAAAAGAGGGTCACCATTAACTCCGTCCCCATGAGTGATGTCATATTTCTGACGTTTGTTTACATTCTAACTGTTCGGAGTTACGAAGTGCGTTTTTTGAATGTACATTTAGTTTTTCGGATGCGTATATATCTGTATATAACGATTTAATGTTTGTTTCGGAATATTAAGGATTATTCGGTACTTTTCCGTTTTGCCGGCGCAAGCGATAAAGTCGCCAATAATGGTACAACTGATGCCAAACGGAATATTCTCGCTGGTAACCTTTTACGCATCATTTTCAAAACAAGTCGCAGCTTTTTTCTTATCAGACTGGTTGTTTTTACAATACTGGCATATAGAATACATAGAATTTTTATCAGATAGTTCAGTTTATGTCTAAGGCCATTTTCGGTAATTAAGTCAATTGGGATGCAATCACAGCTCTTATCCGAAGCCGAAAATATAGAAAAGGTAAAAGTCAAGGGTTAAATTCATCCATTCTAATGAGAATGCATTAGCGAAGTAAAGCACTGCAGTTTTACATAATTTCTGAGTAAGCTATTCGTACGAATTGAAATAATTTCTTGCATTTAAACTTGTGTTCCAAATTGAGATTTAACTTGAAATGAATGTAGATAATTACTGAGAGCATTAGATTTTTGTAGAGTAGTTTACGTGAGATGAGATCGCTTGGGGTCACGTGATATGAACCGGCGAATCAGGATTTTGAACCAAGAAATCATAGTAAATTCTTAAATTAATGTCTTTTTACAAATTTATTGTCTTTATTTATTGGCTTTTTATTAAATTTTAAGCGATATTAAAATGTTTATGCCTTCTTTTTTTTAAAAGAATTCTCAGAACTAATATTTTTTAAATATTTTTTTATGTGTATACTGTATGTTGTCGCCAATAAAGTCTGCTTGGCGAGATTTGCGCCGGCGAAACGGAAAAGTACCGATTATTCTACTGTTCCAATACAAAATTAGATCTAGTCAGATGGAAGTTACTGATGGCTGGAAGATACATGTAAAGTGTGGTTTACAAATTATTCTGCATATTGATAATCAGAAACTTTTAAGTGATAACGACTTAAATCATCTAATATATAAAATGTACCTGCGGGAATTAAACCAAGTGAAGTTAATGTTAAGTTAGTGAATCCAAATGCTATTTTGTGTCAGTAATTAATGCAGTAAATATTTTGAATCAAAATGCCACCAGTAACTATTGCAATGAATTGACATAGTGTGTGTCGAGAAATCCTTAAAATACATTTCATATATATCTCTCTGAATATTTACAACATTATTAACTGTGCTTTGATTAAGAAATCAATATGCTTTACAGGATTCAATATGCTTTCTTAGAAATAAACTTTATTTCATTATTAGAACGTAAAGAGTATAAAAGAGGAAAAAGTGTGTCCACTCCTAATGAACATATTGAAATGTAATTTAGCTGTGAAACTACTGAAGTTAAATGATGAACATGTTATTTCATAAGAACTGAATATATTTAAGATATGCTACCAGCTCTGATATTTCAAGACTGTTGGATATGCTTACCTATGAAGATTAAATCACTATTAACTGACAAATTATGGTTCTGGTAAAGCATATATCATATTTGGAATCTTAGAAAGGAAGTTCATTGTTTTTCAGAAATGTAAATAAAATAATACTGAATAACTATAAGTGCTTAATGTAATAGACCTACTGAAATCTAATTTAGCTATAAAACTGCAAATGCTAAATGATGCTGAACATAATTTAGCAAGAACTGAATTTAGTAAGATATGTTACCAGTAATGGTATTTCAAGACTATCGAAAATGCCTAACAATGAAGTATCATTACCTGTTCTAAAGTGTAACGCTGAATTGAATAAGTATACTTTTATTTCCAGGAAACATACCTTCAAGTGAATTGCTTGAATTAACCAAATTCAATTAAAAATAATCACTATTCACTGACATTATAGTTCTGGCAAAGCATGTATGATATTTGGAATTTTCATTGTTCAGTATGCATTCTTAGAAAGGAAGTTCATTGTTTTTTTTTTTAAATGTTAAGAAAATAATAGTGAATAACTGTGTGTGTAATAGACCTACTGAAATCTAATTTAGTTTTAAAACTGCAAATGCTAAATGATGCTGAACATAATTTAACAAAAACTGAATTTAGATATGTTACCAGTTATAATACCTATTTCAAGACTATCGAAAATGCCTAACAATGAGTTATCATTACGTGTTCTAAGGTGTAATGCTGAATTGAATCCAATAAGTATACTTTTATTTTCTGGAAACATACCGTCAAGTGAATTGTGTGAATGTGTGTTTATAGTTCCTTACATCTAGTTAAATACAGTGAAACTTACATAAGCCAAAACTGAATGGATTAAAAAAAATAACTTAAAGTTGTATTTCGAATTTTACATTTTGTCGCATTAAAGACTGATTACCTGGATTTCCACTGATGGTTGGACTTGATAAAATATGTCTTGAACCGACAAATTTTTTTTTTTTTCTGAGAAAAAGCATTTAATATTGATTTTCTTACATTAGTATGTATTTTTAACTGTGAAGTTTGTGCATTTAAAAATTGTAATGACATGCAGATTATTATATTTTCATTTATTTCCAATTTCATTAAAAGTATTTTTTTACAATTTACTGCCTGATTTTATACATTATATGTATGAGTAATAAATAATTATTGTAAATATGCTATGTAACTTATATTGTGATCTTTATATTGAATTAATGGTGGTGTATTGAGAATACGGCAAAGCACACTAGGGCTATCTGCCTAAGGGGAGGGATGCCTTCGTGAAGAACTTTCGGTACTATTCGGTTTCGAGGGACGTAAAAAATCGCCAAACTATTGTTGATGTCAATGCTGCCAAACGTAATTGCGGCAACCCTAACGCAAGAAAGGAAGTATAA